GAACTTATTTGAAAGAAAGAGAAGAATTTATTCAACATCTCCATTATGATCAAGTGAAGCCAATGGATAAAAAATTTATTATCTTTTCATCTTTGCCCTATTCCTGTTAACACAAGAATGAGCAAAGAGGGCAGCTGAAGATACTAATTTTTTACCCATATTGATTTATTATTATAATTATAATTATTATTATAATTACTATAAATATTATTATTATTATTATTACTATAAATATTATTATTATTATTATTATAAATATTATTATTATTATTATTATTAAAATATATATATATATATATAATAATATTAAAAAATTACAAGCCCAGTTAACCGGCCCAAACCAAACCGAAACCCTAAACATTTAGGGTTTCAGTTAGGTTTCTCTAACCCTAGCCACCTCTGCCTCCAGCCGCCTCTGCCTCCAACCGCCTCAGCCAACGGTCCAGCTTCCAGCCGCCTCTGCTGCCAGTGCCACGCCTCCATCGAGCCTCCAGAAGACCTAGATGGCCACCCACGTAGCTACTCTAGCAGTGAGTCACCACTGGGAGTCCGGTGACTCACCGAACTCTATTCTTCGGACCGGTCCGAGATGAGCACCGGTGATGGCTATAAAGCCATCACCCAACCTGCAAAGAAAAAAGAAAAGAGAGACAGAGAACAACAGATCCCAGAGAGACAAAAAAACCAAGAGCAAAAGATACAAAATAGAGACCAAATCACAACAACCAGCAATCAAAAATAGAAGAAGAGGGAGGAGAGAAGCTTACCGAGGAAGCCACGACCACCGGAACCCTCCAAACGTCACCAACAACCTTCGAAAACCGAAGGTATTTTCCTAGATTTGCTCCGATTGGGAGCTTTTTAGGAGAAAATAACACCGGAACCGTCCTTAGGACGGTCCGATCTACCCATTAGTGTAAAAATAAAATTTTCCGGCCACCGGAAGCGGTGGCCGGCGGTGATGGTCACGGCGGCAGACGGTTGCCGTCCGGTGACCGGCTTCCCTCCGATGAGGGAAGCTAGAGAGAGGCCAGAGAGAATTCTGGCTCTCTCTCTGCTTGAGAGAGAAAAAAAATGAAATGAAGGCTGGCCCTTCGGGCCAGCCATTTTGGACCTTATATAGGCCTTCCCGAACGACGTCGTTTCGGGAAGGACTATGCGTGTAATTAAAGAATAGTTAATCATTTCCGCAGCCATTTAAACTTGTAAACTTTCCATTTTAGTCACTAAATCAAGTTTATAATACTTTTAATTTGATCTTTAAATTTTAATTTTATTTATTTTAGTCCTTTATATTAAAATAATATATTTAGGATAAATAACAGATTTAATCCTTTAATTTTAATAAATAATATTTTAATCCTTAGTTTATATTTTTAATTTATTTTATTCTAAAATCTGAATTTTAGATAATTTTATTTTAGTCACTAAATAAATAAAATAAAGAAATAGCATGTTTAATCCCTATAATTTGATTAATTATGAATTAGGTTTTTAATTTTACTTTTACTATGATTTAGTCACCTATTTTAAATATTTTTTTATTACTTTTAAATATATAGCTCTAATTATATTTTTTAATTTTACTTGTTTATATATTTAAATATTTTTATTATGTAGCCATAAATAGATATAATAAATAAATATTTATTTTAAATAAATTATTTTAATATTTATTTTTCAATATCGAAGAAAATGACAATCTTAATACAACTGGATGTCCTATTCTGGTATTTTAAAATTAAAAATTATAAAAAAATATTATTTAATTTAAATTAATATTTATCAATATCAAAGAAAAGAGCTGTCTTAAGGCACCTAGAAGTTCTTTTCCGATATTTTTAAATATTTTTTTATAATTTTGAAATAATAGGATTATAAATTAAATATATTTTGAATTTTTTTAAATTTATAATAATAGAGACAATTTATAATTAAAAAGTACCAATTTTGGGCGTTGTAGGGGTGCTAATCCTTCCCTAAACGTAACCGACCACGAATCCCTTTTTATTAATAAAAAGAACGAATTTTTGGTTATAAACGCATATCAATTCATCTTTTAACTGATGTTTTCTTAAAAACTATTTTAAAAGATAATTTTTAGGTATTCGACCTACCTGACCCAAAAGGCCGATGGCGACTCCCAAATTATTTTAAAAAACCATTTATTCACATCACTTTTCCCGCCAAGTATAAAAATTCGTGCCCGGACGAAAACCGGTTACGACAGGAATCATTCGAGCATGTATTGCCTTAGAGGTTCATATATTAATCCACGTACGTGGTCCTTAGATTAGTTGCTTCAATGAAACAAATTTATTCCTCGGAATCTAGCACCGAATTAATAAGAACACAAAGATGGGAGGGGTAAGGAAGAACATAGACATTACGTACGGATGTAGAATTTTATATTAGAGGGCCGGACTTATAAAATTTCAAGGACGAAAATAGATCATCCATAAAAAAAATTAAAAATACTTAAATTATATGGAAATTTTTAAATTTTCATGTGAACGACTGCCCCGTCAACCCCTCAGACCGTCTTGTACGTTGTGATTACATGTCAGCTTTGAACCGGAGAACATGTAGATTCTATTCCCCTTCTTTTTTTCTTCCAACAATGACATGAAAATTTTGTTGTATTCTTTGGCCTATGTGCCGTCTCAAGAGAAGACCAAGTCCATGATAACATGGAGAGGGGGCCCTGCATATAATATATAACAGATAGGAAACAACTGATAAAGCTTACTTTCTTCTTTTATACTATGTTCATCCGCCATGGAATTTGTTCAGATATCACAAGAAAAGTAAACCACATTCTTCATGAAATGATTTAGCAGTTTGGTGTGGGACATTTACTCATTCCATCACATGAATGGCCAAGAGATTTCATTTGCTAGAGGATTCTCGAACACATGATCATCCCCATAGTCGTAAGCAAATGTGGGTGATTCCTATCATTGCCATTTTAGCTGCCTTGCTGTTGGGATCTTCCTTCTTGTTCTTTGGCAGATGACAGAGATGGAGCCGTAAAGGTAAAGGTTTAATCAAATCTGTAGATTCATTCTTCCATTGAATTGCTTGCTCATCATTTTCGTGAAATCTTTGTACAATTAGGAAGTCTGAATGACGAGAAATTGCGGTTGAGGCGTTTCCAAGTCGAGGAGCTCGAAAAGGGTACCAAAAACTTTAGTGCAGACTGTTTGTTGGGGTCTGGTGCATTTGGCAATGCCAATAAAGGAACCTTTGAAGTTGAAGGTACATTAGCAATCAAGAGAGCTCATGCCGAATCATACCAAAGCGTTGAAGAATTCAGAAATGGTAAGCAGCCTTATGCAGTCAACACTATAATTGAGTTTATTTACCACAGCTCAAGTAGATTGACTTGTTTTTTATTGATTTCTTGAAACAGAAGTTAGGGTTAGAAAGTAAATCATCCAAATCATGTAGGTTTGGTTTCTGCGAGAACCCGGTACGTATATTGAGCCTCAAATCATTGATTAATTAATCGTCTAGGGTAGTGATAAGAACCCAAGAATTTTTTACTTCGTTTGAAACAGGACCAAAAGGTGCAAAATATTGGTTTATGAATATGTACCACATGGTTCTTTACTTGAGTATATCATGGGTAGGTTCGCACTTGAAACACCTTTAACATAGACAAGAAATCAATTAAAAAACACTCAGTTCTGCTCATTTTTGGAGCGTAGGAAGGGGGGGGGGAAGCTTGACATGGAGGCAAAGAGTGAACATAACCATTGGAGCTGCTAAAGGTAAATTTTCTTTTTTTATTTTCTTACAGGAATAGCTCATTTGCATGATGGGATTAAGCCAAGCAACATCTTAATTGGAGAAAGGTTTTAAGGTCTCAGATTTTGGACTTGTGAAAATGGGACCTATAGGGGATCAATCACATGTTAATAGCCAGATCAAAGGAACACCCGGGTACCTTGATCCTGCTTATTGTACAAGTTTTCATTCGAGTCCTTTCAGTGGTGTTTATAGCTTTGGTGTGATACTTCTTCAACTTACTGCTGCCCGGCTGGCCATGGATTCTTCTAGAAGTCACCCTAATTATCATATCATTGACTGGGTTAGTTTATTTATCAGCCATAACTTTGCCATACTGTTGTTAATAAGCTGCCAATTCAGACATTATACATGTGCTGAAGCGAGCCATTGAAAACGCAGATGAGGCCTAGTATAGAGAGGGGCCACATCGAAGAAATACTTGAAACTATTCTTTTATCCAGACCTTGCAACATGGACATGATGCTGACAATGGGTGAACTTGGTTTAAGACGTGTGGCGAAAATGCCAAAAGACCGTCCAACGATGACTCAGGTATGGCAAGAACTAGAAAACACACTGTATTCACTCGACAACTTGATCGACAAACAGCCTTTGAGAAGATCCAAACCGACCACCACCCCCATGTTTCCTCGACCAACAGAACAAGGACATCATAGATCATTTGACCAGGATTATTCCCAAAGCTTTGTAAGCATAGATGGTGTTGGATTTCAGAAGTTCCATGTCGAGTTGGATAGCATTTCATCTAAAAGCTTAAGATGTTTCGAATTCGACAGTGCCAGTATTGACATGATAAGAAGAAAATGAGAGATTAATCAAACAAGTAATCATATGTTTTCTGCTTTAGAGATCAAACAATTAAACAATGATCTCAAACAGTTACAAATCGTTGAACTGTAACTCTCTTTAGCATCAAACTAAGATCATTAATACTTACAAACAGCTAATTAAACTACAATTAGCTAATTAAACTACAATTAGCTTTCCACAAATAAGATTTCCCGAGCGAGCTGCTTAACAAGACTTATTTATGAAACTCCATACCTGAGAAATGCAAAAATATAAGTCATGATATGACCAAATTATTTTCCAGGACTTCTTGTTTCACTTCAACCCCAGAGATGAGAACTCATTTCATCTACATAACTTGGTTCACTTTCATCTTCCTTCTCAGGATCCTTAGAACTTTAACATCGAGTCACAATGTCAGCATACATTTTTACAGAAGCCTTTGAAAATTCAACCAAGGATTCAAAAATGGAATAAAATCCTGTTTGGAATCCTTTCACGGTTATCTGCTGCATCTCTCCCATGAGAGTTTGGTGTTTTAACTTCTCAGCATCTATTCTTTCCCTGAACTTATCCAACAGATTTTTTCTCTCTGCGAGATTCCGAACATTTACTTCTAGTTCATGCTCATATAGTTTTGTACCAAGAACCTTGCTCTCTATTCTCTGGAATGCCAAGACCTTCCTCTCAAGTTCCTTGGCAAGTCCATCAACCTTCCTCTTCTGTTTTTGCTCTTCTCCCTGTTGAACCCAAAGTGCGTGCATATCCTTTCCAAAGCTTTTTAATGCACAAATAACAGCTTCGTTCGGCAACTTCTCCAAGCTAGCCAACCATTCACGACAAGTTGCGAGCAAAGGTGGTCCATTGACTCCTAATGCCGGGGCAGAACACCTCTTCTTGGATCGTAATTCTACCTCAGGGGCAATGAACTTGGAAAGCCACTCACTGAGAGCTTCAATGTATGCCTTCTGTGCAGATAAATATGCAACAAAACAAGAGCGCCAATTATGAAGTTCTGCCACAAGCTGAAGTGTTGCAAGACAGTGAAAGTCGTTACAAAACTTTCCATAAGTAGGACAGTTGAAATAGGTAACTTCGAACATGATTCGGTTTTGGGTTTCGTGTGATTCCATCATTATCTTCCAGTTCCTCATTAGGCTGCAGAAGGAGAAAGAAATGAAAGATTATCACAATGATAAATCTAACACGTCTGAAATATTGTTTTTGTCATTTGCTTTCATACCCATGTAGCAGCTCTATTAGTTGTGGTTGCAACTCTTCATCCCTCAGTTTTTCAATTCTTTCCGAGATTGTTTCAGCACTTCGTATTGCAACCAAAATTCTGCTATGCAAGTCTTTCACTTCATCTCGGGTTTTGTCACCAGAGTAGAGGCCATCTCGTTTAACATTGCAGTTTCTCGTTTGAGAACATTTTTGGTCATAAGTTTTCCTGGTCTGGTCTGCTGCCTGATTATATGAATTCTAATATGTTAGGAAGCAATGACAAATGCTTAGAAAACATGGTTTTTCAATGCACTCAAAATCTGGTTGTTTAGATGAAAATTCAACATTTCAAAACCACATCGGGCTACTTTTTCGATTGAATGATCAAGGGAAATGAAGATTTTGTAACCGACAACACATAACTGTGACGTTATGAACCATTGTGAATAATGCAAGAGTATATAAGTAGATCAAGCAGAACATCAAGATGAAAGGAATTGTTTACAAAGGATTGAGCGCTCAAGAAATATCAAGAGACAGTTCCCGTTTTCGGACCAGTAATAGATTGTGTTTAAGTACCTTCACTTCCTCATAGAGTTTCTTTCCCAAGCATACAACCTTCCTAGGGTCAATGAGTGGCTTCCAGATTCCATCCCCCCATAATCATCAAACATATCAGTCTTCAATCCTGTCCAAGTAGAAGAACTTCTGGAACTACATGAAACAAGACTTTTGCAGGACGAAGACCGTGATCACGGAGACCGGCTCCAAGTAATTGACCGGATAAGTTTATTTGAGCTCTCTGCAGCCAGTCAGCAAGTTAAACAATTATACAAATCAACAAATGGAAAAAATCGGCATGCACAGACCATCAAGGAAATAGATTGGACATTCAATCAACCTCTCCTGTTATATGACAAATCATCAATCCTCATTCTTAGCCTAATTTGCAACAACATATTATACACTCAAAACAACTAGATGGAACCTTTATTATTCAGTTTGCAAGAGGATGATACAAGAACAACTAAATTTGCTGAGAAAAACCCATGAAAATTACAAGCATTTTCAAGAAACAGAAAACGATAAAGACAAAGGAAAATACTTAAGGGAAAGAAAACATGCCTTTAAGTTCTTCTAAACTAGATTGCAGCTGAACTCTGTTGGCCTCTAGCATTCTACAGACATCCAAACCAGATTCATATGCTCTGAGAAAATGGTCCTCAACATCCTTTAGAGCTTCCAACAACTCTCTCTCATTAGTAGCTGTAGGTGTCTTAATCATTCTGAAACTATTCTTTTCACCTTGGCTCATATTAGCATCATGGACATCCCCATTAATACTCGAATCTGTATTCTTATTTTTACTCTCCTCGTCACCATCATCAGCATTTGTTACATTCTCAACCTTTCTCTCACTCATATCTCACACACCATCTTCTTCCAGGTTAGGAATTCCCCCTCTCTCTCTCACCGCTCTCAATTCCTCCTGCGAACTGTCGTTGAAGCTGCTCACTATCCCTGTCCTCATCTCATCGAAAGGGTTGAAGAAATCCCAGGTGAACTCCTTATCTGGTGATGGCATTGTCAATGGAGCTTCTTCACCATAGAAATGCTCGCAAATAGCATCTTCTTCTTCTTCCTCTTCCTCTTCTCTCTCTTGCTCTTCTTCTGAGGACTGAAGACAACCCTCTTTACATTCTTCAGTTCTTGGAACTTCATCTTGTCCTTGATCTTGATTCCCTCTCTTCATAAAAACTGTTGCAAGAGATGAGTGACAAGGAATGGTCTCATGGGTGGGCTCAGTTGGTTTTTGCTTAAAGAACATGTGATTGGTCATAGGGGTCTGAGCAGCCTCATCAGTGGAAGTAGTTGCCTGGAAAGTGATGAGGAAAGGAGAAGGAGAGGAAAGCCTTGCAACAAATAACCTATTGGCGGCTGCAACCGCATAGAGAGACCGATTATACTTGCATTGAGCATCCGCAAGAGCATATCTACGCTCCACGGCCAATTTCAGGAGGCGTTTTCTCTCTTTACACAGTGACACCACACCATCCTCCTCTTTCTTTGAAGTAGCACACCCCATTTCTTTCTCTGTGTCAATCTGCTAAATCCAAAGGTGATTCCTTTTAATGAAATCTAAAGTTGGTTTCTTGATTAGACCATATAATTAACTCTTTTAACAGGAAAAGACTAGGTTTTGGCTCTGGCATAAAGATGTCTCGGAAAAGTTACAGAGAATCACATCAGATAAATGAAAAAACAAGAGCAAAACTGAACTGCAAATGGGCTCACTGCCCCGTGTCTGATAATGGGAGATGATTTGAGTTTCAAGTATAGCTTTAACTATAATAAAGCTGATTAAACCATTAGGAGAAATGGATGTTGAGTATGTCAGAGGAAGAGACGAAGTAACAAGCTTGTCTTTTTGCTACAATTTTGGTATTTTGAGTCTTCTTTAGACAGGAAAGAGAGTTGAAATCTCAAACCATTGCCTTGCTTGTTCTGCAATAACAATAAATGAAGATTGCTCTCTTAGGTGTATGTTTCCTGCAAAGAGCTAATCTAACAAGGCAGCTATTTCCGTTACTTTTTCTTTCATTTCTGCAAGAGGGAAGAAATAGGAGATACTCCCGTTCAGCAGCCTTAATAAACAGTAAAAAAATATTATTTTATCGATTTTGTTATTATTAAACATTTTACCGGTATTGATAAAGTATTATCGGTTTTGTTATTTTTTTATTGATTTTATTATTATTAGACACTTTTATTTGAAATATTAAAAATTTGATGTTTTAAGTAAAAATAATAACATTTTATATAATTTTTTATCGATTTTATTATTTAAATAATAATAAAATCAATATCATCTTATTTTAATCGTATATTAAAGTGTTACACTGTTAAAATTTTCAAATAAGAGATGGGTGTACATGGCTGAGATCCTCTTTTAGGGTAGTTCTATTATGACAGTTTAAAGAAAGTTATCTAAAATATTATTTTTTATTAAAAAATATTAATTTTATTATTTAATTTTTTATAAAAAAATTAACATTTTAAGTAGCGTTTAATATTAATATTTTCAGTAAAAAATATTTTAGATAGTGTTTTACTAAAAAAGTTTAATATTTTAAGTAGCAACTAATATTAACATTTTTGGTAAAAAATAATATTTTAAGTAATGTTTTATCAAAAATATTAAAAAAATATTAACATTTTTTTATAATTTCTTTCCTTAACTATATATTAAGATTATCTTACCTGAGACGGAAGACAAATGCCGACAACCAATACGTGAAGCGAGTCAAAGCCTAACCTCGATGCTTTGGTAAGAGAGACAACTTCTACTAAGCACTAGGAGGTGTGCAAAAAATATCCGACCCGTCGACCCAAACTTAAAAATTTGGATAATTTTCTAAAAAAAATTATTTGGCCGGATCGAGTACCTGATCCGAGAAATATCGGGTCAGACTCGGGTCACAAAATTGAATTTTTCTGGGTACCCAGTTACCCAAGTACTTGGTTAGGGATTTTTTTATGGTAAACTACTTATTTGGTCACTTATATATTATCTAATTTATGTTTTAGTCGTTCGATTATTATTTAGGGTAACTTACCTATTTGGTCATTTGTATATTATCTAATATAATTCATATATTTTTTTATTTAGGGTAAACTACATATTTGTTCACTTATATATTATCTAATTTATGTTTAGGTCACGGATTATTATTATTTTCAAAATTATACCTAACGTTACGTTTTGATTCTGTTTTGGTCACCCATATTTAAAAATGAACAATGATGCTAACATGACAATTTTTTAATTATGTTTGGATGTTGGACTAACATTTTTTAATTATGTTTGGATGTTGAATTATGTAATTCGAAGTTTCGAACATTTAAATTTATATATTTTTTTAATTAATAATTTGAAAAAAAACCGAGTATCCAAGTTCCTGCAAAATCTGGTTATCCAAAAATATCCGAATCAAAACAGAGATCAAAAAAATCAATTACTCAAAAATTCGAGTACCTGGCACTTCAAGTACCCGAAAACCTGATACGGGGATTTGTACACCTCTACTAAGATCTGTTCCTTGCTATGTTTTACTGTCGCAAGCCATGGTCAAGCCCACTCTCACTAAAAAGGTCGTGACCACCACTGTCAAATTCCATGGACTTGAACATGGAAGAAAGATATAATGTCACACACGTACGGTGGCAATGGCTTATTGGCCTACCAAAGGGCTGGGTACCCTTTTGAAATGATATGATAATATAATAATAAGGGAAAGAACTGAACTGAACTGAAGAAGATATTTAGGGGGGAACTTTTACTTCCAGTTTCCCTAGGAAGCCATAATTGCTCTTCACTTATAGCTTATAGTAACGTAGAAACTTATCCATCTGGGCTATTGTAGCCTTTGGATTGGATTCTTTTATCAGATTACAGCCGTTGGTTTAAAAAGCAATAGAAAAATCTAACTGCAGACGTGAGAATCTTCATGGTACAAAATCATATAAAAAAGCATTCCAAAGTATATTCTTTCACAAGCTTTTTATTGTTACAGAGTCAGTAAGATATGGACAAGAACAAATCTGAGGTAATATATATGGGGAAGTTAATGCTTTTTATTCATTCAGTAAATTAATATTTGGACTGTCATTATTATATTTATTGAGCCGTGCTATGCATACTCTCCCTTCAAGATTAATTTGATTTGGTTGAGAAATGGTCACATAATGATTGAATAATCACATGTAGATTCACATTCTTGCAACTTTTAAGCTTTGCTGGAGGAGATAATGTTTAAAAATAACAATAAAATAAATGCTTGTGATTTCTTCAACTTATTAAATGATAAGAAGTGTTGTTCTGTTTATGTCTTGGTTCAGTCAGTTATATTTACTTTATTAATAATTAAAAAAATTATAAATAAATATTATTTTATAATCACATTAAATTATTTTAAAAATATTTTAATTATATAACTATGTACTAAAAAATGAGTTATTTTTTATTTGTTGACCTTTTCATTGATAGTTATCTATGAATAGTAATATGTTGGGTTAGGTCGAATCTTTAATTGACCTAAATTTGACCGAAGAATTATACCCCTCACTTGATATTCAATTCTGATTGAGAAAATTCACTCATTTTGAATTTTAGGTTAAAATATTGACCCGACTAGAATATATATATATATATATATATGATAAAATAATGACTTAATTGAAAAAAATATAGAGAATGATATTATAATAATTATACGTAAATATATAAAGGTCAATTATACTATTATTTATGATTCAAGTCGAATAGTTTTCATCTTAAACTCAAATTCGATCTCATTCTTCATAAAACTCAATCTACCCAAACCCAACCCAAATTTCAAAAAAGAAAAAAAAATGGCCATATAATATCGATTCGAATCAATATCAAATTTAAGTTAAATTATCATCCCTATAAACTATAGTTATCCTTTGTCATCATATATATATTCCACCCACGTTGCTCGTTGAGTGACCCATTCAATGTTGGTTCTATCACTTGGTTCTCATACATGTAATGGGATAAGTCGACAAAATTATAAGATGATTATCTTTAATTTAAAAAATTGTACAAAAAATATTGTGAAGAGATGACAAGTTTTGTAACGTCCTAAATCCAGGATTAGTAATTTGGATTGACCCAAAACGGTTTTGGACCATTAGCCTTAGAGGAAGCCTTGATCCAATTTGAGTTGATTTTGGCTTGGGTTGAGCCTAAATCGCAATAAAAAAAAGTATTTTTCAATTATGTTTAAAGCATAAAAGACCAAGGGAGTAATTATACCTTTTAGAATTTAAAAGGTTGAATCATATTAAATGGAAATGAGGTAACGACTAGGAAAGGGGAAACAAAGCTTAGC